CTCACAGGAAGCGGTGAAATTCAGCAGGTGAAATTCTATGGCCTGTGTTACACTGGACGTCAGACTGGATGAGACAGAATCTTACAAGGGTGCCACAGAACTTCCTGTCACTTCCACCTTTAATGGGGTCCTTTCAAGTTATAAGAACAAAACTTCTAATGGATGCACAGGAGGAGCCAGGCAAGGGCCACAATGCTACAGCCCACATGTGCTGGGCTCTACAGGTGAAGCAACCATGGATCAGGAACCCAGGCCACCCAAGCCCCCTGCCCCAGGCCCTGCCATGCCTTGCAAGCCCACCCAGCAGCTCCCAGCCCAGATCCAGCAAAAAAAGGGGCTTCCTCTGCCAGGGAGGGAGGAGGAGGAGGCGGCGCAGCGAGCCTGGGCTGGCACTGTGCGCTCACACGGGGACCTGAGAGTCAGGCATGGGGCAGCGCCCAGGCAGCCCCCGGCTGCAGCTCCCCCGCCTGCCACCAAGAAGATGAACCACGTAGGTGAGTGTGGAGCAGGGCAGGCATGGGGGCCCCGGGATGATGCCTCCTTCTCCTCACCCACACCCCAAGGGGCAGAGCCAGGTGCAAGCAGCAATTTAGCATGGGGGAAGTTGACCGGGGAGGGTCTGGGGTGGGGGGGGGAGGGGTTTGTCCCCGCTCCCCTCACCCCGCCCGTGCCCGGCTGGGCTCCGCTCGCCACCCGTGGTGCTAGTCAGTGCAAGCTCTGCCTGGAACCGCCCCGCCCCATACCGATGACCCGTGCTTTCGCTGCCGGCTACTCCTCTTCCCCCACACACCGCGTCGGCAACATCAATCTGATGCAGTGCGTGTGGGAACTTTGTCCCTTCCCCAGGCCTTCAGCAGCCATTAGGAAGCTGCTGAGGGGCTGGGGAAGGGACAAGGGGTGGGAATGAAAGTAAACAGTGTTTACTTTCATTTCCTGTCGCAGCACCGCGGGCCACAGAAAATGGCTTGGTGGCCCGCATGTTGGACAAGCCTGTCTTATAGACATGCCCACAGTAAATCAGTTTTCAGAGCTCAGCCTGAAAATCATCACAGGTCTGAAAAGGTTTCTAAAGGGTATAACCTAGCTCTGCATTTACTTGTTCTATTTAAATTAGAAAAAATTAGAGTAGTAGGGACAAGCGTGCCACAAATTAAGCCCTATACCCTCCCCGAGTGCTGCTGCAGTCCCCTTTCCCTGCCTGATACATCACTCTGCTCTCTTCTTTCTGCACTGTGCTCCCTGACTGATCTGCCACTCTACTTTCTGCTCGCTGCCACCATGCTGTCTTCTGCCTCTCCAGTCTGTTGTGAGCCACATACAGAGGCTGCCTGTACCACTTGTGCTAAGTTGGCCACCCTTGGCCAAGAGCATAAGAACTGTTAGATAAAATTCCAGTACCTAAATTCTCCCCTATTGGCAGTTCCAATGCTAGTATTATAAAGTGATCTTTAGTATTTGCAGTTTGCCAAGGAACAGGGACTTACACTTGGGTTTACAATTCATTTAAGGACCCAGAAATTTATACAGAACTTCCTAACATAGACATAGCTCATGTGTGCTAGCCAGATCTGACATGTCCAATTCTACTGTCTGTGCAGAAACCATATGTTCTCCTAACCAGTCCAGCTGGCACAGAGAGACAAAGTAATCTGGTTGCCATGCCCCACATTAGTGTCAACAGGGCAATATACAAAAAAAAGTGGTTAATAGTCCAAAAAAAGTGAAGTTTGTTACCTCATCTCTTCAGAGGCCCCAATTTTTCAGGTTGGCTATTGTAGGCTGGTCACCAAAAGCTGTGAAGTGCTCAGATTTTACATGGGGGAGTCATCATTTGTGCCATAATCTTTTTGTTCAGTAGTATGTAGGACATTTATATGATTTTAAATATACCCCTTTGTCCCTTCTGACACCATGAAAGTTAATAAACCTCTGTATGAATTATAGTCTTTCACAGCTGAATAAATACAAGGATGGTAGTGAGGCATTCATCAACAACAAATACTGGGACACTGCCAAAACATTCAAGAGAGTTTCTTTTTCCAAAGTGGCATGTGGAGATGTGGCCAGCTACCTTTCTTGGAAAAGAATGAACACAATCCCTGCAAGCTGTATACTTTATTGCTAAACTGATATGAATCTTTCCCTGAGGTCATTATGACTTCTTAATTTAATTTCTACTATAGAATAGGAGATGAGGGGTGGATCATCTTCCAGTTTGCTTGCTTCACCTTGATAAAAATCAGTATAGTCACCTACTGCAATGCCATTTTATTCAGAAACTAAACACCTACTTGCCATCTAGCAAGCTGGTTGACTCTGATATCAATTCAGGTAGGTATGGCATGATGGGAAGATGCAATTGGTTGGAATATTCAACCCACCTCAAATGCTGGAGGCGACTTTACAGTAAAGGTGTTCCTTTGGGCCACAGTTAAATCATTCTTAGGTTGTGTGACCCAAGTGATTTCATCCTAGGTAAGCTATAATATATACCTATTACCACCCTACTGGCCAAGGTAAGGCAGTCTTCCTAAGCATTAAGACAATAAGAAAAATCACTATAAAGGACTGACAGAAGATAAAATAAAAACCCAAGGTAAAGTTTTCAGGAGTACCAAACTGTGTTAGGAGACTACATTCCATCCTCAAAATATACTTAGGACCCGTGTTTAAAGACAAACAAAAAAAAAAAAAGAGGGAATTTAAGCATCTAAAAAAGGCATATAGACATCTAGTGAGAATTTCAAAAGCACCACAGAAGGTTAGATACCCAACGCTCACTAATGTCAACAGTAATTTGAAACAGCACTCATCTTGCCTCAGCATTTTAAAAAATCTTACTAGGTGCTTATCCACATCTTTAATGCACCTAAATACCACTTGAAAGTGTGGCCCTTAACAACCTAAGTCTCACTGAACATCAGCAGAACGTGCATGATCATGAAACTCTAGTACTCACAGCTCCCCAAATCCCTTTTCAAAAGTGGCCCCACCAGGAATTCAATGCCTACATCACTGTAGCTCTTTTAAGAACACTACCCCCAAACACTGCAGAATCAGCCTGAAGTCTAAAGCACATTAGAAATACATATGACTATAGGGAACACTGATAAAAATGGAGAATAAAACCAGGATGAGCAAAGAAATGCAGGTGTTTGAGGGCCAAACCCTTATTTAAGATGAAAAGTCATGCCTTACCACAGCACAAACTGTCTCATGGAAGTATAGAGTGGAAACAGAAAGGAGAGACACAACTGATAGGAAAAAGACAATGCCCAGAGATATTAAATCAAACCATTAAAAAAAAAAAAAAAAAGTGTCATTCTAAAAAAAAAGTTACATTCTAAAGTAGAAGGCTCTCTCAGTGACTAGTTCCTTTTGGGCTACCAAGGGAAAGGAGAGAGAGATTCTAGAGGACAGAGAGGTAGCAAATAAGTTAAATGAATTTTGTGCATGTATTAATTGTTGAAGAGTATAGCAATTCCCTGGTGATTTTCATGAGAGTTTGGAGTGTGACCTTGACAAAAAATGAAGTTTCCAAGGAGGAGGTCGCTTCAAATAAGCAGTGTGATAAACTCGGATGCAGTAAATGGCTGGGACTGGATTGTACCATCCAAGGGCTGAGAAGGAAATAAAATGTAGAACAACAAGGTTATGGAATTTAGCCTCACAAACAACTGCTTCTAAAGATATTAAAATCACCAGCACAGTTTCCCTCTCCTTTACCAGGAAGTAAAGGAGAGCCTAGGGGTTACAGACCGCTAGACTCACCTCAGTACTAGTGAGAGTACTAGTGAAACTAAGAAGTGTAGATAAGGACAGACTTTTAGGGTCTGTGGTAGGAGGAGTTGAGAAGCTGAGCCATGCACTTAAATGGCACCATAACAATGATGCTGCTGCACAGATTCTTAAATTTAGTTTTCCTAGGCAAGGCCAGTTCTAAGAATTAGGACATGTTTCTTGGCTGCATCCCTCTTAGGCAAGAAGTATAGCACTGCTCCTGCATGTCCTGTTACAGAGAAAATAGAAGTCTTTTCACAATTCAGCATTTATAGAAATTACTTAAGTTACTATATTTATCCAAATCCAAGATGACATCAAATTTAAAATGACCCACGAGTAATTAGATTCCAGACAGGGAAACATTTATACATTTCCCATGTATAGAATCTAATGATTGGAGGGGTCATCTTAAATTCCAACCCCTACTGCTACAACAGGGAAAGCAGCAACAGGGCAGGGGGTGGAAAATGGTTGGTGGCAGGGAGTAAAGTGACCAGACCCAAAAGCTTTGCCCCCCCCTACACTTTGATCCATGATGCCTGCCTCCCCTACTGTCACCTGGCCCCTGATGCCTGACCTCCAGTAGGCACTTTCCTGGCACCTTCCCCCTCCCCCCACTCCACAATGTTGCCGGTGACCCTCATAGCTGCTTGCCACCCCCCCACCCCATGCCTGCTGCCATCATTGACTGCACTCCCCCAATGGTATCTGCAGCTAATGGCAACTGCCTCCCTGCCCATTGCCTCCCCCGCTCATGACCATCCTTGTTGCTTGTCCCCCTCCGCCACTGCTTATCTTCAGTCACAGCTTTGGTTCTACTCCCACCCAGGACATGGAGCACAAGGCAGCACTGGTTCTGGTGGCAGAAGCTCTAACCCCAGCCTTGGCCCCAGGGTTAAAGCCAGAGCCAGGGCCAAGTTTAAGTCCCAGCAAGAGCATTGGCATACCCCAGTCCCAATTCCTAGCTTTGGTTGCAACCAACACCCAATGCCTCCTAGGAAGGCTTATAAAAAAAAAACAACAACAAAACCCCAACACATGAAGAAGCAGTGGGGTGGGGGGTAGAATTTCTTCTCATCCCCATATAGCAACCAGCAAAGTCCATAAGCATAAGGTACAGTAGAAGAGAAACTGCATTATCCCCCAGAATTGTCACTAATAGAATGAGATGCCCAAACCAATAAAATTAAAGCTTTTAGCAGGATTTCAGTGGTTTTATTCCAATTCCAATTACTGGTTTATAGTTCAAAAATGCTAAATCTGGCTTCTTCCTTGGCTTTCAGGCTCCGTATGCCTGAAAAAAAAAAAAAAAAAAAATAGACATTCCTAAAAAAAAGAGAAGACTCCTTTGCAACTTAATAGGACTCTGATCACCCATGTAAAATGAGTCATGTTTTATTGTACTCTTCTCTAACCCTGACCTTCCCGAGTCAGGAACAGCTCATGTAAAGATAGGTGGAAGCACAAATTTCAAGGGCAAGGAGCAGGTAATAATATTAAATGGCCACGGTGGGACTACAGCAATGAATTGAGCAGGCTGGATTTGCCCAGTGCACCAAACTGCCCATTCAGCTCTCACCTCCTCACAGGCTGTGTTCTCAGTCCCTCTGCACTATATTTTATGGTCAAATTCAGGTGATGACATGGACAATTTAGTGTCCGAGTTCTTTCTAACCGAAGACATGGTGTTGCAATTACACGCTCCAGTGCAGGCTCTACATTCCGAGATAACAAACAACCTTGTAAAAAAGAAAAAAAAAAAAAAGAAAAAACATTTCATAGGAGTGTAGTCCCTTCAGTCTGGGATTTAAAAAAAACACAAACAAACAAACGATACATGCACACGCGCGCGTGCGCGCGCACACACACAAACACACACACAAACCCCCAAAACCAACCCCCCCCCCTCCAAAACCCCAACAACCTGTTCACAAGAGAGATTTCATGCACTCACCAAGTCTTTGGAAGAACCAATTAAAAATTGAAGTAAAAATAGCATCAGAAATAATCATAAAAATCTTTATTCGCTAGTTAAATCTTCATTTTTCCCCTTTGTCCTATTCAGCATTTGACTTTCTACCATGCATCTTTAATAGAAACATATATTTAATATGTAGTACCTTACTAGACATATTGCATACATTCATTTGTTTCTTTCTTATATTTACCATATCTACCCAAATCCAAGATGATTTTGAATTTAAAATGACCCCCAACAATTATATTCTACAAATGGAAAATGGAGGGTAATCTTAAATCTGTCCCTGCCACCTCTGCTGCAAGGAGAGTAGTGGTGGAGGGGGGCAGGCAGTGGCAAAGGCACAGGTCATGGGAGGGGCAGATGCCAGGGGAGTCAAGTGGCTTGACTCCTGCCCCTTGCTCCCATACACCCTGCCCCTGCTATTTGCCCCCCCACTACTTGCCCCTCCCCACTGCCTGCACCCTAGTGCTTCCCCCTCTCCATGTCTGACCCCTGCTGCCTGCACCCACAAAACTTACTCCTCCTAGTGCCTGCATCCCCCTGCAACTTGGCTTCCCTATGCTACCTACCCCCAGGCCCCTGCCACTGATGTTTATCCTCCATCACAGGTCTGGTTCTAGCTCTAGCCTTGCTCCAGCCAAGGGATGAAATACATGCTGGATCTAGCCTCCACCCAGGCACACAGCAGTAGTTGCGGTGGTAGCAATTCTGGCCCCAGCCCTAGGAAGGGGTTGAAGCTACAGCTGAGGCTGGGACTGGAGCTGCCACCACCACTGCTGCTGGGTCATAGGAGGCCAGGGTCATAATGGGCTCCATTCTCTAGGGTAGGGTGCAGCCAGAGATGCAATGGGACTGGCAAGGGGAGAAGAGGAAGTGGAGGGGCAGTAGCAATTGGGGCACATGCAGGGTGGCAGAGTATGAGGGCCAGGTGCAGGGGACAACACTTATAGTTCCAACTCCAACCCTGATCAGGGCTGCAACCGCCTTCTCTCTCCTTCTACTCAGACCCAAGACAAGAGGCCCCCCATGTTGAATGGTGAAAAAGCAAAAAAACAAAAAACAAAACAAAAAACAAAAAAAACCTCATTTTGGGCTCGAGTAAAATAGTATATCCTGCCCTTCCCAAAAAAGGCTTAGGGCAACTTACAAGACAAAAATATAGAAACAGAATAAAATATTAAAATAAGATTCAACACCCCTCCCAGCCAACAAATCCAGGCAATCTCTACTGTTTCCATATGTGACAGACTCAGGTGACCTCTCTCCCTGGAGTCTGGTACCTCTAGCAGGTAGACTGGGCTGTCTATGTTCCCAGACCTCCACCTCCTATCTCTTTCCTCCCATAACTTGCTGTTAGCTATATAGAAGATGCTGACTATGGAAGCCAAAGGTGGCTTAGTCCTTGGTGCCTGTTACCTCTCTCCTTTCAACCCATAGATGTACTCCCACTTTAAGATGACCTTGGTGGCCTTAGGGGCTAGAATTATGACCCCTAGCTGCCCCCATAGTCACACCCGTGTCTCTCAGATGACTCAGTAGGCTCTTCATAGCCAACCTCTATATCCAAATCAATGTTGGGCCTCTTGGGCCCCCAAAACCTTGTCTGGGCTTTCACCTGCCCAGCTTCAGCCCTTTATCTGACTGATGTTGTTCAGCCCAGATCCACTCTCTTGGACCACACACACCTAACTCCTTGGAGCCCTGGAGGTACTGCTTAGGTATTGGCCAGTCTGTTTCCTGAAGCCCTTACCTTCAAGAGACCCACTCCCTGCTATCTGCAGGGTCAAACTGCCTTGCTAGCTCCCAGGCCCTGTTTTTATGTGATCTTAGAGCTCCACCCCTTTGTGTCTGCTAGCTCTCCAACCACACACAGGGGTTTCCACTCTACTTGGTAAATCAGCCTGCCTCTCCCCTTCCCTCCTCACATCGGCAGCTACTTTGCTCAGCTACCTCTATTTGGTCTAATAAGCTTCGGCTGTTCCTGCCCTGCACCCCGCACCTCCCCGGGTCCATAATAGGCCCCAGCCTTAGGGTCTGTTTCATTGTTGGGGCTGGCTGCTGTCATCATTGGCCCCTGCTGGCTATAAAAGTCCTATTCCCTCTTAGACTTCAGCAAGCAGGATTGGGGTTCCCTGTTACACCATGCCCTTGTCCAACCCAACTTTACTTCCAAGCCCATATTCATTTACTCCAAGAAAGGGAAAAAAAAAATGTTCTTTTTCTATTGTGCCACCCCTTTGTATTCTCCTAGTCAGTACTTGTTCCCCTTCCCCTGCCTCACATGAAGAGGAATTCCCTATAGGCAAATCTAGGAATTTAAAAAACAGTGTGGGAGATGTGACTAACAGCCCTCCCAGGGGTGCGGGTGAGCCCCCCGATCTGCCTACCTGCCTGCCACATGTTATGATTCTCCATTGTAACCTATGGGCAAGATGACAAAACAGTGTCAAAACACCAAAACAGTTTTGATGAAATGAAACAGAACAGTACTTTTGAAAAAAATCCCAAACTTGAGATGAAACACTGTTCCATCAAAATGTCGAAAGGGAAGTCGAAGCGGAACAGTGCTGTTTCACACAGCTTTACCAGTTAGTCCAATAAAATATATCACACTAAGAAATCCTCAAGTCTCAAAAAAAAAAAAAAAAAAAAAAAAAAAAAAAGGAAAACAATTTTGTGGATGCCTCACACCAAAATGTAGGTGGCATCTGACTGTTTAGTGATCACAACTATGTACCTGAAAGATGATATTAGTAGGAATATTTTAGAAGTACCAAAGTTCCAGTAGTCAAGGTCAGAAAGGAGAAGGTTGCAGTAGTTAAGATGTGAGGTAAGCCTAGACTAGAGTTTTTAGACAGAGAGGAACCAGTCTGAAAGCTGAAGAAAAATGTTCTTGTAGTCAAACTCTTGTCTTAGGGCCTTGTTACAGGTTACACTTAGCACATGCTAATTTTAATTGCTGTGAATCCTCAGGCAAAAAAACCCTGATATCCTCCTTTTCCTCCCTTCCCTCTTCTGCCCCCCCCCACCCCCAAATGCTTGAAACCAGCCCCCTCCCTGCCAGGGAGCAGGGGAGTTCTGCCCAAGGAGCAAAACTTGTTCGTTATGCATCTGATCCAATTTTCTAATTCCTCCACTAACATTTGTTGTTCATCCCCACCACAACCTTTTCCTGTGCCACCCACTGCATCACTATCCAAGCTTGTCTGAAACAATCTATGTGAATTTTAAAGCAGGAAGGGACCTCAGAAGACCATCGGGTCCATCCCCCTGCACCAGGCAGGAAAGACAGGTGGGGGTCAGGTGACCCCAGCAAGATGGCTGTCCAGTTTCCTTTTGAAGATTTCCAGGGTAAGTGATTGCACCACCTCTGGAGGGAGCTTATTTCACAGTCTGGACACCCTGACTGGGAAGAAGTTTTTCCTAACATTGAGCTAGAAAAAGGCTTCCAGGAATTTGTGGCCATTCTCCTCATTCTTCTCAAGGGTGCCCTGGTGAACAGTTGTTCACCAAGCCCCTGATGTAGTGGTAAACTGCTACAAAGTCCCCCCTCAGCCTTCTCTTTTTCAGGCTGAAGAGTCTCAGGTCCCTCAGCCTTTCCTCATATGGCTTGCCATGCAAGCCTCTGATCATACAGGTGGCTCTTCTCTGGACTCTATCAAGTTATACCACATCCTTGTTAAAGTGTGGTGCCCAGAACTGGATGTAGTACTTCAGTTGGGGGTCTCATTTCTGCCGAGTAGAGCAGGTGAATCACCTCCTTGGGCTTGCTGGAGATGCATGCCAGAGTATTATTTGCCCTGTTGGCAACAGTGTCACATTGCCAGCTCAAATTTGTGCTGTGGTCCATTATTACCAGGTCTCTTTCATTCATAGTGCTGGTCAGGTTAGGACTGCCAAACCTGTAGGTGTGCAGGGGATTGTTCACCCCCAGGTGGAGCACTTTATATTTCTCGATGTTGAATTTCATGTGGTTCCAACTTGCCCAACTTGCTAGCTTGTCTAGATCCACCTGTATCTGTAGCCCATCTTCAAACCTGACCATGATTCCCCATAACTTGGTGTCATCTGCAAACTTGGCCAGTGAGCTCTTCACCCCTCATCCGAATCATTGATGAAGATGTTGAAAAGTACAGGACCAAGCACCAACCCCTGCGGGACGCCGCTGCCTACTTCTCTCCAAGACGACACAGATCTATTCATTAGGACTCTCTGGGTCAAGCTGCCTAAGGAAGAGAAAAGGGTAAAGTTGGAGCTTTGGAGGTGGGAAGGCAAAGAGTACAACAACCTCATCCTTCATTTAGGGTACTGGCTGCTACTGCTAGTAACCTAAGTAGTGAGGAAAGCAGAGTAGTCCAGCTGGCTGCCCTAACCTAGTGAAAACTTTGTGTGTGCATGCATGAGTGTCAGTGCATTTGTGCACCTGTGTGTGTGCACATGCGGGCACAGAGAAGCTGCAATCTGTGATGGAGGAAATTTCTGGAGGGAACAATGCTTGTGTGTATACAAGTGAGAATTGCCATCAAGTAATATTGATTCCTAGAGGTCCCACTATCACCCATATATTCTTCCCCTCCAAATACCATTCAGACTTGAATGGGCCAGTCACCTCACCCTGGTTTGTCTTCCATATGGTGCAAAGCAAACCTGTCTCTTCAATGTCAAAAGACTATAAATTGTTTTATACCAGAACTCCCCCTCCCCCACCATGGTGTGTGATATATGGCCCCACCACACAGCCTGCTGTTTGGGATACGTATACTTTGCTTGCTGGAGACTGCAGAGCTTCTCCAAAGCTTTCAGCAAGTTTTAAAAGGTTCATATTTCTTACTCACACTCTGCTCACAGGACTCACTGTGTCAGAATTGGATAAATCAGGTAGAAGAGTTTCAAAGGTACAAGGCATAGATATGTCCTGTCATGTTGGAATTCCATTACCCTGATAGGTCCAGATTCTGGTTCCAATAGAAATCAGAGGAAGTTCAGCGCAAAATTATTTGGGGAATCTAGGCCCGCATGCCTAATGTCACTTGTCAAAGGGAAGGCCCTTGCATATATTCTTCTTCTTTTCCTTGCTCCAAAAAATGCTGCTTCTTGAGGCTTTCACAAACCTGATGACTCTACAAAAGTCGGAGCAGATGCTACCCTAGTCCATCTCCAAGTGGTAACTTTTCTGTTAAAGTACACTTTCAGGATACCCTTGGGGTCTTTTGGTTAAAGAACTATCCCTCCAAAGTAATCATCTTATTCCTTGCTTCCTTGCAATTCATTTGTGCCAGGTATCACAGTAGCAAGAACAGCTGAGATCCCTGTGTGAGGGTAACTGCACTAGCCAACAAGGTATTTGTAACAAAGCTTCACCTGAACACTGGAGACCATGAAAAGCCAGAATTGGCCTTATGTACATATCAAGGACTGAGATTTTCTAGCCTTCCAGCCACAAGTATGTGCATGTATACCTGTGTGTGCACAGGCACACAGAAATTTTAAAGGAGGAGGAAGCACTTCCAGATAAATTACCATTCTATAATGAAGCACTGTGAGCCCTAAGGCCCTGTATACCCTCAGGCCTCTTCATTGCTCTAGAGGTGAGAGTATCCATTACAAAATAGTATGGTCTATCGATTTGTCCTATTCAGTTCAAAAGGTTATGTAGTATGTATAAGTGTCTGAAATTTGGGGTGTCAGAGGCCCCATTTACAGATCTGCTTATAGTCGCCGACTTTGGTGTTTGCTGACAGACAGACAATTTAGATTTGGTGCA